ATGGCTACTGCTGGCGTAGATACGGCTACAGAAGAAGGTGGTGCATGGCCTAGAGTCAATAGAAAGGCTGACACTAACCATGAATCCACAGTGGAGAAACCCGCACAAATAGGGCCATTCGGTGCAACACACTTAACAAGTGCTGTACCGCTGTATCACGTTAACACAGATGAGGATGTCGAAAGCTTTATCGATGCCTTAGACAAACCAGCTAGAATATCGGGCTGGACTGATGCCCAGAAAGCAAATATATTACGTTTAAGAACAGCAGGAGAAGCTAAACATTACATTAGGGCTTTTGGTGAGCTGCGTGAAACAACAGACTATCAATATCAAGTACGTAAGCTACTGGAATAGTATAGGACACGAGAAACTACTAATGTAATCTTAATAGAAATGCGTAACCTATATCAACAATGTGGCAAATCTGTCCAAGTTTTTGGACATAAGCTATGTACAAGAATTAGGTAATAGATTGTGCAAGGCTTATGCACACCCAAGCGAGGATATGCTGCAAGATACTCTAAAATCTGAGTATGAACAAGGATTAGTAATATAGCTAGAGGATATGTAAATGAAGCAAATACCCCTCAGGCAACTTTACTAAATTTTATTTGAAGTAACCACTCGAGAAGAGCTACGAGAAAAGGAGATCTATAAGCCTCAACATTCTGCTATAAATGTAGTTAATAAGTCTAGCAAGGCTAATCTGTCTAATACACAGAGTAAGCCCAATGGCTTCCAGTGCTTTAACTGTGATAAAGTTGGGCACAAGGCAAGAAACTGCTTTCAAAAGCAGAAAAGATATGAGCAGACAGCATGCTATAACTGCAGCATTACAGGCCACATGGCACGAGATTGCTGACGCCCACAGAAGGCTTAAAACAGAAAAGCCCAAAGACTGGAGCTTACAGAGGAAAACTTCCCAGTAATAACGATAGCCCTACCTTTGCTACAGGTTCAAAAAACGTAATACTCACGGGATTACAGAGCGAAAGTAGAGGTAGTTCTGGCAGTTTGGGATAAGCAATCGAGTATTCATAGTGTTAATGAAGTATCGCCAATAGCTAAAGTAGAAACAGAAGGTATAACATGTTGGTTATTGGTTGATACAAGTGCTCGATTATCGCTGCTAAGTTCAGAATTAGTAGACAGAAATCCGACATTGTTAGATAATGCCTGGAAGGAAGTTTTTAGAAGTATTTTAACTTCTATAACAAGACATCCTGTTAAAACATTAGGTAGATATAATATACAAATGAGAGTAGGAAACTTAGAGTTAGAACACTCATTTTACATCTGTAAGCAGATAGACTTAGACACAGATGGTATTATAGGGCATGATTTCTTAAGAACTTACGACACTGAAATATCTCTTACCCAAAGTAAGCTACGCATAGAAACAGAGTTCTTAAGTTTTGAAGGACTTGAACCTTCAAACTAACTTTCAACAGTTGCGACACATGATGCCTTCCTGCTGACTAACAGTCAGATGCCTAATGCTAGCATTAGTGAGGCTAAGGATCAACCATCAAAATCGAAAGCACTGACTTCTTAATAAAGTGTAGCAACACACGACAAAGTCGGAGGAGTAAGAATAAGAAGTGTCCTAAAGAAAGTTCTAAAAGAAAGCCAAGGAATAGGACTGTACAGAAAAACGCTAAACCTAGCAGAAGTCATAATAATAAGGTGAGTGATAGTAAGATAAGGCAGAATAAGTTAGTGAATAAGCCTTTAAAACAGGAAAATAATAATTCAAACCCCTCAGATGACTCTACACTTATGCCTAACATAAGCAACAGAGCATCCCAACAGGAGTGTTTGAAAGAAAGAGTTCCTGTAAGGTTAGTTAAAATAACTGAAGTACCTGCAAGAAGTCAATTTATAGTTGAAGCTAAAGTAAATGACTTCAAGTATAATGAAGAAGTGTTAGTTGAGTCTATCGAAATAGAAGAAACAGGAGCTTATGTAGCTGCTAGTATTAGTAAAGTGTCCAAGAGAGACACAGTGCCTGTAAAAGTGTTAAATGTGAATGAAGAAAAAGTAATACTACCTAAGAACATAGTAGTAGGTAAAGCTAGTAGTAGAGAACAGTTGGCTGTGGTAGGACAGCATAATGTTAATAAACAGGCAAAACAAAGTAGGATAGACTGGGATTCTAACTTAGGAAATATAGAGCGAAAACACAAACGAAGTTTGAGAAACTTGTTAGAAAAGTATAGAGGCATATTTGTAGGAGAAAATGACTCTAACGGTTGTACAAACAAAGTTAAATATAAGATAGTGTTAAATAATAAGAAGCCTATAACACAGAGACCTTATAGAGTGCACGAAAAACACAGGGTTGAATTAAAAGAATGTGTAAGAGAGATGCTTGAGCAAGGTGTAATAGAGGATACTAGTAGTCTGTATGCATCTCCAGTTGTATTAGTTCCTAAAAATGATGGAAAATTAAGGTTCTATGTGGATTTTCGTAAAGTGAATGGAGTAACAGTCAAATACATTTACCCATTACCTAATATCCAAGATACCTTAGATATGTTAGGTAAAAGTAAATACTTTTCGTCTATGGATTTGCAAAGTGGATATTGGCAAGTAGAGATAAAAAGAGGAAGATAAAGCTAAAACCGCCTTCGTATTACCTTCAGGTAAATACCAATTTAACAGAATGCCTTTTGGCTTATGTAATGCCCCATCAACATTCCAGAGATTAATGGATGTTGTACTGTCAGGCTTGCAAGATTCCGAATGTTTTTGTTGCTTAGACAATATTATAGTGTTCGTTGCAAGTCTTGAAGAACATTTAGAGAGGATAAGGCATGTATTAGACAGATTAAGAAAAGCAAACTTAAAGCTTCCGTACTGGTCTCCGTCTCGTTGGCTTCTGCTTCACATGGGGATCATCTGCTCCATCAAGAAATATCCTATTATCAGTAACAGTCGCATCAGTGGTAGTAATTTCATCAAGAGCTTCATTGTTTCCCTTCTCAAAACTGTGTAGAGTTTCTTCTTCGACAGTGGCTTTTCCAGGTGACACATCTTCAGTGGCATCTTTTGTTCCATTGTTCACT